CGTATTCTTCAGCTGGAACAAAGCACTGAGGCCATTCAGCCCTCAGTAAAGGGTCTCCTATGGCATAAAGCAGGTTAGAGGGATCCCCAGATGACACAAAATCCCTGGGCGTCCCCACTTGCCTGCCATTTCTCTGGCTGTAGAAGCAAGCATCAGCAGCTGTTCCAACACAGACACCTCCAGGTAAGGCAGATGGGCTCCCCTGCATCCACTTCTCCCTAAATGCTACTGCTCTTCTCATTTGTTCTGCTCTTTCCTTGGACTCCTGCTCTTGGATTCCCAGGTCAAGCAAGTGAAAGGGGTTAGGATGGGCTAAGGAGGAAGAACAAGACACTTCAGCTACTGTTTTGGACATGGATGCCAAACTTTTAGATCAGTACTAGGAACAAGGAGATACTGCCTTTCAAAGCTGAAATAACAGAACAATTCAGATGACTCTGCTGCAGCTGAAGAAGGTACAGGAAGCTTTGTAAAACAATACAAAAGGATCAAACCAATATTTCTCACACAGCTATTCCGATCCAGGGCTTATTTCATGCAATTACTCAGCAATGCACTGACATCTTAACAGAGGGCAAGCAAGGAGGCCCCAAACTTGAAACCACAAACTGGCCAGGTGCAGAATAATCTGTGTGCTCCAACAGGATCTGTTACACCAATTACCTACTTGGTGGTTTGAGACAGTCTTGCAGGAATTGTGCTTCACATACTATCTGCAGCAAATCATTATCGCATATGGTATATATTTACTAACGTTCTACATATGGATGACCTATACCTTCATATCCACATATTTCCAGGATTTTCTATGTCAAAGCATAGGAAGAAGAAATAGGAATTTTTACTTTTGTACCTAAGTACTGGTTTGCAGCTGATCCTTTAGATAGGTGCAAAAATCCACAGCGTTACATACCCAAGCACAAGCATTCCCTAGACTCAAGTTGACTAACTTTGGTTTATGCTCCGTTTCATTGCTGGCAGTGGAACTGCTGTACCTACACAGTGAGCACAAGTGGTTTTAACATCCATAACTCACAAATGCCACATGCAGATGTGCTTTCACAGTTTACAACTCTGCTGAAATGCCTTCTCATAATCTGAAGAGTGCTTACACTGTTTCCACTGCATAGCAAAATTATTTCATAGTAAGATAAGAATCTCTGCTGCAGCAGATGAAAAACATTTGTTTGGAATATTCCAGCTACACTGCAGACAAATAGCCTATTGCATTATGTATATCCTGATTACACAAACTGGAGGATACAGTTCAAGTTACCCGTGTTCTCTAGTCTTATTGGCAGTTTTGGGTATTCGTTCTATTTTCCTACTGAAGCCCCATCTAATCTAGAAGATGACTAAGAAGACAGCAATTCAGACCAAGACACATTTAAAAGAACAAGAATCCAGGATATTTGTAGTAGGGCACATTCATTTTTAAAAGATGGAGGACTACAAAAATTTTCTTTAAATAATTAAAATCATATACATAGTTTAAAGGCTGACATCATCTAAAGGTATGAACATTGCAAGCAAGAACATAAATATATTAGATTATAAAACAAGTCCTGGCCAGAAGTGGCAAATGACGTTCCTCACTCTTGCAAGGATGCCGTGGGAAGGCTGGAAACACAAGATGTCCAGATCACTAAGGGGACAGGCTGAGTGAGCAGTTATAAGGAGATTTTGGATAAATTACATGAGCACCCACTACCTGAAAAATAGGACTGAAGCAGCTAAATCCTGTCTCTGTGTCTGCCTTTGCAAGGTTTCGATTTTTCAAGTCCCTTAAGCCATTCAATTTACTCAAAGTTTGATGTTAAAGTTCCAGTTATTTTTTTACTTCATTAGCAGTACTCATAAATAAAACCAAGAGAATTCACAGATGTTTTGGCAACATAAGGCTGATATAAAATCCATATAGTTGATGTCACTTATACTCCATCCCAAAATAATCAATAGGAAGATATTGTGCACGTCTGAAAGATATTTCAAAGCCATCAGACTACCTTGTTGGGCACTTTTATCTCAAGTATTTTTGAGAAGAATAGATTCAATTGACCTTAACACCTTTTTCTGTACTTTCATGTCTCTGCTAAACAGACCATTTGTATCCATCTTCTCCTCACTTATCGATGACTCCCAGAGGTGAAGAGTGGACTTCCAATGAAAAAATGGCTATCTTGAACTTAAGTGGACTGTAATAAGTATGGCAGCAGCATTCTTCTAAGCTAAGAGCTTAAAATATTAAAATCCAGTACTAAATCCAGAAATGGGAAGGAACTGCCTGAAACTGTTTTCCAGAAGAAACTGCACAGGAGATCAGGGTGACAACTGAACCTCAAAGAATGGGTGCTTTTCAGTTAAGCTCCTCATAATGCATGCATTTGCAGCCTTTCTCTTTCCTGATATGCCAAACAAAGCATCTATTCAATTTACTCATTCCTCTGCATGGTTACTAGAAGCCTACTTGACAGGGCTACTGTCAAGGGGCAATGACAGCCAAAAGCTCTGTGTTCAAATGCACCTGGTGGAGAACACAGTGCCCCTCACATCATAAGGGGTTGCTGCATTGATGAATGCAGCTGCTGCAATAAATGCACCCTAATTCCACCTTCCCTTGCCCCACAGCAATCTCTACTGTATTGTCTAACTAAAGCAATCCAACCACCCACAATAAGCGCTATATTCAATTTAGGGGGAAAAAGCATCAAAATATACTAAAAACTCTTCACCCAAAACATGCAGCACCTTGACCCCTCTTAATTTTATCTCTGCTTTTGACCTCTATTGCTACAAGAACCCTGTTATCTTTTCTGCCTGCTCAGAATTGCCATTTCCTTCACAGCATCTTACTAAAGAGAGTAAACAGTGGAGCTGCCAAATAAAAATACATGTATTTAACTTAGCAAGTAAAAGAGGGAAGTGGTAAGAATAGAAATTGTCTTTAAGGAAGGAATTAGCATGCCACAAAACAACTCCAGAACAACAAAACAAGCAGCTTCAGCCTAGTTCCCCCTTCTAGACTTTCTACCATATCCTGACTTTTAAAATACCATCTGCCAGAAAGGCAAGTTCCTCCAGATGTGATATCTGTTTCTTGGGGTTTTTCTTCATTTACCAGCAAATCATGGAAAATCCTTCTTCACAATTTATTAAGTCACTAAGCCTCATCCACCTTTTCCTTCTTTAAAATACTATGCAATTATTTGAGTATGGGATGCAATTTGATTGAATTCCTCTGTTATGATCTCTGTTGTGGACAGAGTATAAAGAAAGACCCTTGACACTGGCAGAAGTTTGCTCCTTCTCATGCTGATGCACACGTTTAGATGTGACTGAAAGGGCTTCAAAAATCAAGCATGTACAAAGGAGTGAACTGCATTTGTGCTGCAAGGACTTTGTCACTAAAAAGGAAAAAGAAAAAAGAAATAAAGAAAGTAACCTCACTAAAGGAATTCAGTTTGATTCAGCAGTTCTAAGCTTGACCTTGCAATTCTGTAAAGTTAGGATCTTCACCTGCATTTAAATTCCTGCAAGCAGATAGTTCTGCTACCCTAATTAGCAGCTCTAAAAAGTTGAATGCATCTTTGGTGTTTGCAGCTGACAACTGAACAGCATTTTCTACTAGTGTGCATGCTGACCCCCATTTTCTGTTGCTTTTAACCGTGCCTTTTCAGAACAGTGACTTTTCTACTATCTTGGCAGAGACTTATTACAGCAAACCAAAATGCCAACTTTGATGTTTCAAAGGTCAGACTTTTTTTTCTGTTATCTAAGTAAGGAAGGCATTTTTTTTTCCAAAACGATACTGGGAAGACATTAATTTTTACCCTTTTGGCACTTGGCAAAGAGAACAAGGAGCTAGGATAAAGTTTTTAAGGTACCTCCTGGGAGCTTCTTTGAAAACTGCTAGTTTGATTACTACGGTGTTTTTACCAAAGCGAGAAATAGGTGCCCTGTTCCACTCATCGCAGGGAAGGCAGCAGGGAAGAGTTTATGAACTGTAATTACCAGCTTACCCACTCAGGCTCCTTCCTAAAAGAGGAATCATTCATCATCCTCTTTTGTGCTACCGACTCCTTAAAAGGCCTACTCAGCTTGAAGTCCCGGGTATCCCACCACAGCCAGGCTCCCCCAGAGCCCACGCCAGGGCTACCTAGATGGATTTCAAAGGGAACATCGCGCCGCTTGCCTGCCTTATTTGGAAAACCCTAACTCTGCACGGCTTGGCACAACCTCAGCGGGGCTTCGTAAACCTGGAGCTCTGACAGAGATTTAACGAGAAGGAGCCTCAGATCCCAATGAACTCCCAGCACCAGCAAGAAACAGAAATGAGAGTAAAAAGAGAGGGCGGGCTGACAAGAGCCGAGCGAAAGTTGTCGAGTTAAAAACAAGCCCAAAAGGGCCCAGAGAGGAGCCCTCGGGAAGGCTTTGCGCGTTTGGCGCAAAAATCTTCAGGAAGGAGGAAAAGGAAGGCCGGGGAGCGAGCGAGAGAGCCGGCGCGACCCAGGCGGGCGGGTGGCCAGCGGTGCGGGACCGCGGCCGCACACGCTCCTCGGGCCGCGCTCGGCGGGCAGGGCGGGGGCGGAGCGGCGCCGGGACGCCCCTGCACCCCCGCGGCGGCCGGGAGGCCTATGGGGGCGCGGCGCCGCCGCCGGAGCGCCGGCAGCCCCTCCCCGCCGCTGCCTGCGGGAGTGGGAATAAAGACAGATAGCGGGGCAGGCAGCGGCCGGGACGGAGCGCGCACAAAGTTTCCTGCGGAGCCCGCGGGCGGCGGCAGCGATGCCTGTGCTGCGCGGAGCGCTGGGGCTGCGCGGGCGCCGCCGGCCTTAGGGCAGCGAGAGCGGCGCGGGGCGCGGCAGCGAGCCCCCGGCCCGTCCTCTCCTCCGGGCGGCCAGGAGGAAGCGCCCCGGGCAGGGACGGGAGAGCGGCACTGCCGGAGCGCGGGGAGGGGGACCGGCACCGCGGGGCCAGCCGCGCCGGCGGAGCCGGAGGGAAAGATGAGCTTGTTGTCAACCATCGACACCAGCGCCGCGTCCGTGTACCAGCCCGCCCAGCTCCTCAATTGGGTCTATCTCTCGCTGCAAGACACGCACCAGGCCAGCGCCTTCGATGCCTTCAGACCCGAGCCCTCCTCGTCCCAGCACCCCGATCTCGGCTACACCAAGAGCACCCCGGAGCTGGGCTCCTCACTCAGCTCCAGCTATCTCAACAGCTTCTTCCAGCTCCAGCGGAGCGAGGTGAGTCCGCCGCGCCGCCCGGCGCGGAGCCCCCGGCCCCCCCCGGGCCACAACCGCCATGATGCCTCGGCAGCCTCCTGCCCCTTCCCCGGGCCGGGCCGGCACCGGCACCGAGCCCGCCCGAAGCGGGGCAGCCCCGCTCCCCGCCGCAGGCTCCTTGTCCTCCCGCTGCCCGGCCGGCCCCTTCCCGCCCGGCGCTCCCTCGCTGCCCGTCCCGCTGAAGGGCCGGGGCGAGGCGCCGGCATTGGCGCGGCCGCCGCCTCCTCCCGCCGCCCGCCAGCGGCGCGGGGCGCCCGTGTTGACAGTCTGGTCAATGGTTACACGGATTTCCCGTGCGCAGCCGGAGGGACGGGGGCAGGACACACAAAAAGTGCTACATCCGTCGTAACGTGCAAAAATACCAAAATACTGCCGCCGCCGTCACCCCCCCCCCCCCCCCTCCCCCCCCCCCCAAAGTGTTACTTAAAAAGCTTGATATAAGAATACATATGGTTTATGAGAGATCAAAGGCAGGCATTATTTGAAAGGAAGAGATATAAACAGGAACGTGGTAAAAACAGCGAAAAAAGTTTCGTGCACGTTCCATAACGCGAAACCGAAATGTAACCGAAGGGAAGGAAGCTAAAAACCTGGGGTATGCAAAGACAATTCGCTATGGAACTCCCTGTCACAGGAAGTTGTTGAGGTCAAGCACTTCTGCATTGGAGGGATTTCACATGTGTGGAGATACTGCAAGGTGGCACATCACACAGCACAGCTCCCAGCCTCTCCAGAAACACCCAGCTACACTTTGGCACCCTACTGTGGCACTCCTGCCGGAGGCATTCAACAGCGGCTTTGTTTGATATGGTCAGATGGACTATACTTCCCAACCTGCCACAGAATGACATTTCAGAGTCCTTCCAGTGCCTTTTATGTTAAACTTCGACTCTAAATGTATTCTCGGTCTAAATACATCCTCCTGTTCTGTCAGAAAAATTATGGAGTTATTAATTAAAACCAAATCAAATTCCCGACTGCTCTCGTAGAGCTGCTAACACTTAAGAGCCAGAGTGACATAGACACGTTTTCCTCTAATTAGAAATTCTTTTCTTCTTTAAGAATTTAACAAAGCACATCCAGTCTCGAAATAGGCACTATTTTTGAGAGAATGTAGTTCAAAACCCGTTCAACCTGATTAAGTCTTACTAAGCATGACATGACATAGGCAATTTAACAGCATCTAGACCTAACAAGCACATTGATTTTGCAAAAAGATTAGCAAGGCAGTGCAATTTAAACTATTAGCTACCTACCTGTTGATGACAAATTGTTGATTTTGCCCCTTCCTGCTTGGCTTACAAGCTTTATGGTACCCAGGTAGCAGCAAGCCTGCGGGAGTTCGGCCAGCATGGTTTCCAGATTGGGTCTCTGTTCAGGCCCCTATTTGTTGAAGTCAGGATACATTCTGCTCACAGCAGGTCCTTTATTTTTTGGGAGAAAAAGGAAGAAACAAGTAAATGGAGTCTGCATTCAGGAGGCCTTTGAAACAGTCTCTGAGAAACAGTTTTCTCTTCCTGACAGTTCCCTAAGTTCATTTTCGGCTTCTGCAATACTCTGTGCAAGTAGGGGCTAATTCTTTTGTCACACTCCCTTTCCACTTGGCTCATAGTTCTTTCCATTTTTTCCTCCTAACCTTTCTTCTTTCTTCTGGAAAATAATTTCCCTGTTATGCCAGGCCTTCCTCAGGCCCCTGTCTCTGCCCCAGCTCCAAGCAGTCAGTCCCTGTGCAGCCTCCTCCCAGCTGTGCTGTTTTCAGATCCTAGAAGTCACCTTCTGTGTGGATTCCTATCAGCCACTAGCTGTAACTTTATTCTGCTCTTTTTAACCTCATCACATTTTCCTGAGGCACATGAAAGCAGCAACAACTGAGAATACCAGCTGTGTAGAAAGCCAAGAGCATTCACCACTCAGGAAATAAGAAGCTATTTTATTCTACACTGATATTTTATTATTTTTAAAAGATAAAGCATGGTAGTTTGTTGCCATTCATTTTCCAGCCTGGGACAATAGCATTCATTATGTGGCTGATGGAGACATTTCTATCTTTCCACTATTTACCTGAGCTGTGTCTTAATACATGGTAGCCTGAAAAGAGGAAAAGGAGCACAGCTATCTCCTATGGCAGGGCCATGCATCTGCCCTGTTGAATATACCCTGAAGGAAGTAGGGAACCCTTTAATTTCCCAGGCTAACACTGCCTGCTTAAACAGCAGCTTTCATTCAAGAGTTTAGAAGGTGCTAGAGATACTGTGGCTCAAAAGAAGTTCTGTCAATTTGTTAGATGCTCTGTTCTTTCCAGAAACTGGAAACTAGACTGCTTTTTGGCAGGAATCACCCAAGAGTTTCCGACAATGTCATGCTCTTAATTCTTGAGATTCTAACATCTGTTTATTTGCAGATGCCATTGGGTATACACTACATATTTCAACTGTGTAAAATTATTTCAGGGAGCATTAGTACTGTATGCTGTTTTTGCAGCAAGTGGGCTTATGCTATCTTTGGAACAACACATAGCTTTCCACAGTTAAACTGTTGACTGTTTTCTACACAGTGCTTGCTTTGGTTGGCATTTTTTTCCCTCTCACGGTTTTGTCCTGGGTTGGCTTAGCCTGGAGCCGAGCTGTTACAATGATTGACACATAGCTGTACACAATATTTGGAAAGTGACCTAATGAGGGTCCAAAATAGCAACAGATTGAGAAATGATAGGATCATAGGGTGTAAAATAGTTGTGTGTCCTGTATGTTGCCTTGCAATTGAAAATTTCTGGAGAAGAACACTTGGAATAAGAGACAGCACTTGTGAAAAGTTGCTATTATACAGGGTTTGCAAGTCTGCATGGCAGTGCCTGTGTATGTGACTTGCATACTGACCAAAGGAACAGGACAGAAAAAAAATAAAAGTGCCAGCACCCACAGAGTAGTCTTGTACTTCAAGATTTTTGTCCTCCAGACTTTTTCCACTACAATGGATGCCTTCTAAATAAACATGATGAACACAGCTGTTTGGTGCATAAAAGCCCATTGTACCAAGGAAAAAAAAGCAATAATAAAGGTTTAAACAGTAAAGCAACAATGAGTGTTTTGTTCCGTATGCAAGACTCATTTTGCAAAACAGACCTGCTTTAAACCAAACTTTATGGCAGCATTTGTTGTCCTAGATATGAAATAAAAGCATGTTAGACCATTAAGATGCAATAAATTGGCCACTGGACTGAGCTCCACCCTCATTATAACACCATCCATCACGGCCAAGTATTTGAGGCTTTGTTGTGAAGCTGGTTACATGGAATTTAATGCCTTTGAGACACAGCCAGGTATCTGTGGCTTTGTCATTGAGGGGGATAACTGAAAAACCTAGAGCAAGGGGGCAGGAAACTCATAAGGTATCGTTCTACACTAAGAGGAGGCATCCTACCAGGTCAATACTGTCTTTGGTCAAGAGGAGACAGCAAGAAGTTATCATAATATCATAGTTAAATTTTTTCCTTACTCTGTGTCTTTCAGCGGTGAAATTTCTTCTAGAAGCCTCTATGGCAGCCACTTTCTGGATCTAAATACGGATTTAAGAACAAATAACTGCACATACTGGATGAGAAAATAATCACCATTTTACCATTTCTGACTTGGAGACTTCCAGATCCAGTTCTTATAGGCAAGAGGGGAACTAACTGGGAATGAGAGCACACCAGCTAGTTTGCTACAGTAAAGTATGGATCACTTGCTCGAAAAGAAAAATGTATGGAGTTAAAAAAAGTTTTCAATGTGCTGTGGAAAATAACATTCAAATCCCTGTGAAACAGAAGCAGGTCTAAAACACTGGGATAGATTAGGTAGCTTCACAAAGAAGACAGTGACATTGATAAGCTAACAACAAAAACTGATGAAACACTAGAAGAACAAAAATGTAGGGAAGGAAATTGGCAGTTCTACAGAAAATATATTTTATCAGACAAACTTGTTGTCCGTATTCTTGTTTCACTGTATTACGAGGGTACACACTAGGCTGATGCTTGATGAAGAAATATGTGTTATTCGTCCTAGATGAAGTAATTAGGAAGATAATTAAAAGATTAAAAAAAAAATCTCCATTCTCTAAGTATCAGAAGAATACAAGGATTGCTATACCAGATCAGGCCATTGGCCCCCTAAATTAAGTGCAATATCTTTGAGAACTGCCATGATTAAAAGATTTAAAAGTAAAAACAAAATGCCTTCTAAGAGGCTGCTCACAACTAGTATGGTCTGCAGGCAAACTCCAAGATGCAGGTTTGCAGAAATTTCTATATGCTCCAAAACATGTCCAGTTTGTGTAATTTTGTTTTACTTTATAAGTTATTCTAACAGAGCATGTTTTTGATCCACAGGGTGCTTAATGTGCTAAGCACTCAAGTGAGGACTTCTTGCTTTCTCAGCTACAGACTGACAGAGTAGGACAGTCTACAGTACCTAAAAGCGTCCTTTAATAATAATGATTATTATTTGATTTATTTATTTTTATTTTCATTTTTTGTCACTATTCTTTGTGTAAGTACCAACACTGGAGTGCCCTTAACCTTCTCCAAATTTTATTGGAAGGGCACTAGCATAACAATTCCTCTGTTGCAGAAACTTGTGCTCTCTGCCCCAGGATGATTGTACACCAGCGATATTTTGTGGCTACTTAAAAGTGCCAGACAGGTAATTCCAAAATGCTTCTCAGGAAGTTAAATGTCAATTCTCACATTAGTCCTCATAGGAGATTCCAGGGAGCTGAATCTCCTATGTTAATCGGAGGACAATGTGCATTTGGAGATGTTGGCAGCACCAGGCTCTGTCCTCCCAACACAGCCAGTTCCAGAGCCCTTTTGATGACACTGCCTCAGCACACAAAGTGCAGCTTTCACAGCCCACTGTACCCTGCTCTCGAAATCTTAGACCCTATTACAGGTATCTGAGCTAACAACTATTCTGTTCCTA